TACTACCGTGTTTCCCCGAAAATAAGACCTACCCATAAAATAAGCCCTAGCAGGATGTCTAAGCATGTGCGCAATAGAAGCCCTACCCTGAAAATAAGCCCCAGTGATGGGCGTGGCTATGAAAATCATCCCTGGTGATGGGCGTGGCTATGAAAATCAGCCCTCGTGATGGGCGTGGCTATGCAGCGCATCTGCACAACCCATGCATGTTGTCTCGGAATAGGAAAGAAAATGAGAAGCCCTTCTCATCTGTCCCGTGAGAGCTCTAGTGCTCACAGGAGAGATTGGGGCCGATGGTTCTAAAGGAAACAGAGTCGCAAGACATTCAGGATGGAATTCGAGGTTTGGAGAGTGATGATGATGTTCCAGAAGAAGACGACTTAACTCTATTTTGAATCAGTGTAGATTGTTGTACCCCACTTTAAAAAAAAAAATAACACATCCCCTGAAAATAAGCCCTAGGGTGTCTTCTTGAGGAAAAATAAATATAAGACCCTGTCTTATTTTCGGGGAAACACGGTACTAACATGATTCCCATTTGACAAATGAGGAAATTGAGCCACTGAGAATTTTTTGTGCCCATGCTCGCTCTTTCATGTGCTTTGTGTGTCATAGATGCAACATACAGTCTAGAATCTACCGTTTATTGTGTGCCTACTATGTGTAGGATGCTATGCCAAGTGCTGTATGTGGTTGATGCCATTTTATTCTATCACCCCTGTGAGATAAATACTGTATTTTACTGATGAGGAAACAGGCTCAGAGCATCACAGTCCTTTGTTTATTATAGTCACACCTCCTGGATGTGACAGACTAGACACCTATCCTAGGTCTGGCTGTGTCTAAGGCCCACGGTGTAACAACTCCACTAAAGAGTTTTGCTGCTAATCTTTAAGAAAGCAGCAAAGGAATCCTTTGATAAGATCTGAAAGGACAGGACAAATGCCCATACTCTAGGCTAACTGCACTTTTACTTTGTTGTGCTTGACAAAGACGTAACATAGACAGCAGCAAAGTCCTTGAAATTATCTGGGTCCCAGCCCCTTCTTTTTATTAATGAGGACCTGAGGCCCAGAGAGGTTAAAGAATTCTTAAAATCACTCAAGGCTGGAACCACTCCCTGCTCAAGCTTTGTCCCAGAATTCCATGCCACTTTTTCCAGAATGGTGCATGCCAAGTCATGCAGCCATTTGTATTATAAGTGGATACAACTGCTATCTATTTCTAAGATGCTTTTGTTATCCCCTGTAGAGTTCAGCCTGCAAATCCCCGTTCTTTGCTGAAATTGTCATTGTTAGCTGTATTATGGTTGCTTAAAGGTCACTCTATCCACGCTTGTCGAAGCATTTCCAATAATTGGACAAAAATATTTATGTGTGCATTGTTTCCTGCTTTCTAATGTATCCTCCTGCATTTTGAAAAAATGCATTTGCAGTCCTATTCCTCTTTAAGGATTTTGTTCTATGTTGAAGAGAAAAGATACGATCCTTACACAAAGGCATATAAATTCTCTACGCTTTTAGTTTTGTTGATTTTTAATTCAACAAAAAGAAGAGAAGAGCTTTTAACTTGAGAAAATTACTTTTTTTTTTTTCCCCATGTATTGTGTGACCTGAGTTCATTTCTGTGCCAATACCTCTCCAATCCCTACTTCCTCCATGTATTCTTTTTGATTCCGAGGTTGTTGTGTCCCCCGTTCCAAATCTTTTCCGGGCCATCCACCATGTGCTTCCATACCTTGACCCAGCGTTCTGGCTAGCTGGGGAGAGTGGATGCAGGAAGCCACCTGCTCCTTTTCTGGGCAATGGTGATTTCTCCAATCCTTCAGAAGTAAACAAAGATGTGAAACAACAACAACAACAACCACAGCAGTAGCAACAGCAGCAAATCTGCCCCAACTGTACAAGGAGAGACAATTCTCCCAGCTCCACTACCTGATTTTCTTTCTTAAATATTTAAGAATATAGACCAGTGCTCCCCACACGGGCAGTTTGGTTTATTGTGAATGTAGCGGTGGAGTTTATGTCTGTGGCTTTAGGGCATCACAGGTGGTAGGTGTTGTTTCCCAGACAACTTATTCAGGATTCAGGTCCTAAAGGCAGGTAGGGGGGGATGAGGTTGGGAAAGAAGGTAGGTAGATATAGATAAACAGGAGGAATTTCTCACAGCAAGGGATGCAGTTATCAAGGTTTCCAGAAGTGTCATTGCAAACAAATGATGGTAGATGGAAAAGAAAAATAAAACACTAAAAAATGGAAGGAGCAGTTCAGCTCAAGAGGAAGGGGGCCAAGTGGGGCTAGAGAGCATCAGGTGTCTATTTGAGCTAATGGAAATGAAGATCCCACCTGCTGCTGGGTCCAGGCTGTACCTGGAATGCTGCCTGGGCCCGTCAGTGTGTCCCCTAACTGGGCCACAGTCTGTGGGCACTTCCCCCGCCCTGGGCCCCCCTGACACTGCAGTGAGAGAGTGGAGGCGGAGGGCGGGAGACATCCTGTTCCCTTTGGCATTTTCTAAGTGAACTTGAACTTGGAGGACTGTCTGTCTCCAGGGTGTCTCCGACTGCTTTAAGGAGGATGGGCAGGGCCATCAATCAAACAGCATTTGTTAGAGTCACAAATTACCAGCAAAGTGCCTCACAAGTGGAGCCTCGTGTTCCCTCTTGCAGAGGTGCCCTCGTTTAGGGAATGTGAACTGAAGTAACCTTGCAAGAGAAAGTTCTCACATATACCAGATATTTGATAATTTTCTTCTTTTTTTAAAACTTCAGGGAGGTTTTTTTTTGGTGTTTTTTTTTTTTTTTTCTCTTTCTTCACATGTTCTTGCCTATTACTAAGGAACTGAGACTTTTGAAATGTCATTGTCAGCATTTTCAGGCTATGATTTTCCTGTCTCATTAACAAAGGCCTCTTGTACTTTCTCTCCCTGCTCTCAGAAAGGTGAGAGCACTTGATTTATTCTTGACGTTCACATGTAGCTTCCAACCTCAACCTCCCACTGTTGACTTTCTGAACTTGACCCTTGGGGGTAGTCTGGAAACTGGTTTTTCTATCTAGATAAGCCATAGACAAGTGCCCTCTTGTCTTGCTGGTCCTATCAAAAAGCTAGATAATTTCTCCTGCACCCCTAGCTTTTATCTTAAAAGCACCTCTCCCTCACCCTTCAAAATTGGCACACCATATTCACCAAGTGATCTTCTTGCTTTAGTTTGGTCTAAAGCACTGGAAAAGAATAGCCAAGAACTGCAAATGCAGACTAAAACTAACATCTGGAACACTTGAGGGTAGTAACAACCGTCTTCCTTGGGTATCTACTATGTCAAGTCAATCAGGTGAAAGTTTAACATATTTTATCTCATCCTTGCAACACCATAATGTAGGTAGCCCGTTTTACTGATGAAAAACTGTGGCTCATAGACTGTCTTTTGCTCAGATAACATGTGAGGGAGCAAGATTCAAGTCCGCAATTGTTAGATTCCAAAGCTTTTAACTGCATAACACGTGATTCTGCCTCCTGTTGAATGTAGTGAAATAATATAGTAGGACAATTTTAAAAAGGGATTTCAGGCCAGGCGCAGTGGCTCACCCCTATAATCCTAGCACTCTGGGAGGCTGAGGAGGGAGGATTGCTTGAGTTCAGGAGTTCAAGACCAGCAAGAGCAAGACCCCGTTTCTACTAAAAATAGAAAAATTACCTGGGTGTTATGGCACACGCAAGACTCTATCTCAAAAAAGAAAAAAAGAAAAAAAAAAGGATTTCAGTAGTAAAATGTGACCTTTCCTCACACAGTGATGCCTTCTTTCAGAGGAGAGAAATTAAAATATGAATTGGCAACATTGCACAATTTGTTGAATAAGCCTTTCAAATTGAAGAACTACATAAAATAGTGTTGGGAGCTCAGTCTCTCCTTGGTATAATATAAGTATTTCAAGTGATATCAAGAGCCCTGGTTACTGAAGTCTTTTCTGTTCAACTAGATTCTTCCTCTTACCCTGCTCGACTCGGTCCACATAGAAAATGCGGAAGCTTAAGTATAGGGTTCTTGCACCACTTAGGCGTGGGTGATTCTTTTTATCTTTGCAAAACCCTTGGCTTCTAATAACGTCTGCATTCGTGTGTCTTTTGAACGTAAGCGTGCCACAGAATTAACAAGAGAAAGGACAAGTCGGATCCATCAGCATCTGCCATGTGCTGGGCATGGTGGCTTCTCGTATGTTCCCTGTTTAACTGCACATCAGCTCCATGAGCTAAGTGATGTTAACCTTATTTTACAGAATCTGAGCTCAGAGAAGTCAGTTAGCTTCTAAGTGGCAGAACTAGAATTCAAACCTAGCATGATCTATTGTTAATTAAATAAAGGAGTACGGAAAAAGGTTTACAAAATATGATTTCATTTATTTATTTTGTTTTTACTTTCTTTTTTTTTTCTTTTTGTTATCCATGAACATGGGAACAAAATATGATTTTTAGATCAGTATTTACACAAGGTTTTCAGAATGCAAGAGCTGTAATATTTTCAGACAAGATTTTATATACAGTTTTGTTAGTTATTTGGCATGACGAAGTCACACTTCATTAATTTTTTTTTAAGATTCATTAGCTTGCTTTCAAATATTAATATTATGCTTTGCTATTAAAGCTCTGGAGACCCTTGCTTAAACTTTAACTAAACAGCCGGGTGTGGTGGCTCACGCCTGTAATCCTAGCACTTTGGGAGGCCAAGGCGGGCGGATTGCTCAAGGTCAGGAGTTCGAAACCAGCCTCAGCGAGACCCTGTCTCTACCAAAAAGAGAAATAAATTAATTGACCAACTAAAATATATATACAAAAATTAGCTGGGCATGGTGGCGCATGCCTGTAGTCCAGCTACTCGGGAGCTGAGCAGGCAGGATCGCTGAGCCCCGGAGATTGAGGTTGCTGTGAGCCAGGCTGACGCCACGGCACTCACTCTAGCCTGGGCAACAAAGTGAGACTCTGTCTCAAAAAAAAAAAAAAAAAAAAAAACTTTAACTAAACAGCTTACTTGAAACATGAGCATAATACTTCAAGCCTGGCAGCGAATAAGACAAATTGAAAATACCACCAACTATGTTGTTATAAGCCAGGCTGTTTGTTTTGGGGCGCTGTCGACATCTATAAACCACTTGCTGCTAAAAAGAAATACTGCTTTATATGACAACATGGAAATATGAGCAATAGAGATTTCCTCTCTTGCTGTCTATTGCCAGCAAATGAAGGACCCTGTTCATTCATGTCGTGTTTGATAGCTGTGAAAAAATCATTCCTGTCCAAACCTCAAGCACACAGGGACAAAATAATTGCCAGTTTCGAGAACAAAAGAGCAGTTGGAAACCATCTGTTTGATAGTGGATTTGTTTTATCAAAGAGTTCCTACTGGACAAATTTCTAAACGAGACAAAGGCAGCAGAGCCAGATAGAAAGTATGTATTTTATGTTACTGCGTCATTCCGAAATTTGTCACCAGGATTCTGAAAGTAACAAAAGCTGATTTTCTGTCCCCATTTCTTAATGTATGTTCTGTTAAAAAAAAAAAAAAAGGAAGCAATTTTGCTGTTTCTAGGGCCATTTCTTTGAATTCTCCTCAGCTATATTATATGTGAAGTTAGTAATAAATGTCGCAAGAGAACAAGGCTCAAGCCTGAAGGCATGAGGACAGAGTTCTAATCCTGATTCTTCATGAAATTTCAAATTTTAGGTGTAATTGTGACTGTCACATGTCACAAACACTACCATCCTACACACTATTCTGGCATCTTCTAGTGTCTTTCTCTGGCCGTCAAAGTGGGTAAGCCCCTATGGATTTGGTTTGTTTTTTTTCAAGCCTGCGGCTTTTTAGATGAGTGGTTCTGCCTGCTAAACTCGGGAAATGGTCCTGTGAAGTAGAGTTGATAAATAGCAATATTTTCCATGGTAATTTCTGGAGTTATCTTGGATTTTGTTTGTTGGATATCTACATTATTATTCCTGGTTCACTTGATTCCACGTAGTCTAGAAGATGCAACTGAAGAATTAGATCTTGCAGTAAACTAGATTTAGGGAGCAAGAAAACTTTGAATTAACACTTGGATTACATATACAAATATATTTAAAATAACATTATGCAAGATAAACAGTGAAAAATCTCCCTTCCATCCTTGCCCCCATCCACTCAATTCACCACCTCCCTAAATAGTTTGTTGTGCAGGTTGAATATCTCTTACCTAAAGTGCTTGGAATCAGAAGTGTTTTGGATTTTGAATGTCTTTGGATTTGGGATGCTCAACCTGTATATGCTTTCAAATTTTCTTTATGCGTAAACAAGAAAAGACAAATATATATATACATATTTCCCCTCCATACAAAAAATAACATACAATACATAGTGTCTGCACGTTATCCTAGAGATCTTTTTAGCACTGAAAGAACTTGAGCATTCTTTTTTGAAGCTTCATAATGTTGCATTATATAAGTTACCATGATTTATTTAACCACTGTTCTATTGATGGACATTTATGTTATTCCCGATCCTTTGCTTTTACAAACATTCTGCAATGAATAATCTTGCATGTGTCTTTTTGAGTTGTGTGTAAGTAAATGTAGGTGGAGGATATATTAGTAGATGTATAATCCCTGGATCAAAGAATTACTTTTGCAATTTAGCTACAATTCACCAAGTTGCCCTCCTTGAAGTCTGTAACAATGTATACACTATGTTACCAAACTTTCAGATTTGTAACAATCTAATAAGTGGGAAAATGGTATCAGTTTGGTTTAATTTGCTTTCCTCTTGTTATGAGTTGTTAAAGTTGAGTATATTTTCATATGTTTCAAACTGCTTTCTTTGCCTATAAATACAATGTTTAAATCTTTTGTTCATTTTTCTACTATTCTACTGGAATTTTTTGTCTTTTTCTAATCTATTTCTAGGAGTTCTGTATATAATATGGAAATTCCCCCATCTCTAATGTGAATTATTTGTTTTTATTTCTTTCATTTTGACATTTGGCTTTTGATTCTGCATTTGCTATTATGCCATACATAAATATTTACTTCTATGTAGTTAATTTTCTGAACCTTTTATTTTACAGGTCTAGATTATAAATCATATTTAGACTCTTCCCTCCTCCAAGGTAACAACAATTTTTCCATATATAGGCATATTTAGTTATACATTCACAGTAAAATTACATACCAGATAACATAAAAGATAAATGTGGGGGTATACCAATATGGAAAACAGTTTGCACAGTAAAAAAAAACTACACTTTTCACAGTATAATATATAGAATGTAGTGTGTAAATGCTGTCCACAACTTCCTTTGTTTTCAAAATTCAATTTTATTCATAATCAGTGTTATGTGAGTTATGTAGCATATATAAACATAAAAGAGAAAACCTTACACGTAATAGCATTCCATAAAAATTTGATAGCTTAAAAAGTTATGCAATAACAGTGATATCACAAAAATAAAGATTCTGAGATTAAATTATTAAATTTCAAAACAAAATTCAAGAGAGACAAAATAATAAAATCATTTAGCACACTATCTCCCCTCCTTCATATAGATTGGCATTTATTAACTTCTTTTTAAATGTTAGAGTTTCCAGTTTCATGCATTTTAACAGAAGATTATTTCTTAAAGTTATTTATTAGTATTATTATGTTGCATGGGCTAGACCCATTCAAGACAACAGAGTGTGCGCCTCTTTTTACAAGCTACTGATTGAAGTTAGAACTTGCCAGTGTTTGGTGTTCTTTGCAAATCTCACACGCTCAGAAAAAAAGATTATTGTGGTTTTTTTAAAAAATGTAAAGAGAGGCCAGCTGACTGCTTAACTTCAATGCTTAAGAGCATTTCAGACATGCCTGTGCCCAGCTGCCCTGGGTGTTTACGGCTGAGACGGTCTGCATCAGTCAGTGATTTCACTCCCATTGGTCAGCACTCAGACCATGCTGGATATTTTGAATATCACTTCTGCTCACAGGGGGAAGAAAGTACTTTGGTACCCATGGGTTTCAGTTTTACAGGATCAAAACATCAATTTTTCCAGCTCATTGAGAATTAATAGTGAACTTTAGAGGATGGTTGTACTACATAAACTTGCTGGGTGTTTATGGTTACCCTAGAAATTAAAATTATCAATTTACTGTAAGAATCATACTTGCCCAAGAGCCTGGAGCAAAGTGGTACAGACACATTACAAAAGAGTTTAGCAGGTCTGACCGGGTGCGGTGGCTCACGCCTATAATCCTAGCACTCTGGGAGGCTGAGGAGGGAGGATCGCTCAAGGTCAGGAGTTCGAAAGCAGCCTGAGCAAGAGCAAGACCCTGTCTCTACTAAAAATAGAAAGAAATTAATTGGCCAACTAAAAATATATAGAAAAAATTAGCCAGGCATGGTGGCGCATGCCTGTAGTCCCAGCTACTCGAGAGGCTGAGGCAGGAGGATCGCTTGAGCCCAGAAGTTTGAGGTTGCTGTGAACGAGGCTGATGCCAGGGCACTCTAGCCTGGGCAACAAAGTGAGACTCTGTCTCAAAAAAGAAAAAAAGTTTAGCAGTTCTTCAAGCAGTTAAACATAAAATTACCCTTGGACCCAACAAGTCCACTCCTAGGTGTGTGCATCCAAGATAATTAAAATGAACATACACACCACAAAACCTGTACACAATTGTTCATAGTAGCATTATTCATAAAAGCCAAGAAGTGAAAACAATCCAAATGTCCATCAGCTGATGGATGGATAAAATGTGGTATAGCCATACAATGGAATATTAAAACAAGTGAATTACTGATACCTTCTACAGCATAGATGAACTTGGAATATATTGTGCTAAACGAAACAAGCCAATTCCCGAAGACCACGTAATATGTGGTTTCATTTATATTCGTATGAAAAATCCATGATAAGCGAATCTAGAAACAGAAAGTAGTTAGTAGTTGCCTGAGGATAGAGGAAAAGAGGAATGGGGAGTGATTGCTAATGTACACAAGGTTTCTTTTTGAGCTAGTAAAAATGCTCTAAAATTAGATAGTGGTGATGATTGCACAACGCTGTGAATATCTAAAAGCTGCGGAATTTTATACTTTGAGAGCATGAATTTTATGGTATGGAATTATATCTCAATAAATCTGCTATATATATTTATGCTATTCTTAGTACCAATTTTTCTGAAATACGATTAATGGTTCTCTATTTGGTTCCTATTGTCAATCTAGTCATTTATATAAGAAAAAGAATAGTTTCCTAAACTAGATGAATTTGGAATTCCCATCAGGCATTGTTCTCCCTAAATTTAGCTCCAGCGGCAATAAGAAAATATTATAGGCGCACATGAAGCTAAAGCTGAGACATGGTCCTGCCTACACTCTATTTGCATTCCAGTCCAAAGCTAATGAGATCTTTTCTGACTCAAGTCTCCTAGATTTCTTCCCGCTAGTTAAAAGCTTCAGATTAGATTAATTCAATAGCAACAATAATGGTAAAATGAAATAGAAAAAAATATATATAAGTTACATGGAAAGAGAGGGGAAAAAAAATAAAGCAAAAGGCAAATGCAGGAGTTGGACTCACAGCTCAAGTAGTAAAAAGGGATTTATGTTTTTTCATATGTTTGTTAGCCGTTGGTCTATCTTCTTCTGAGGAGCTTCTGTTCATGTCTTTAGCCCACTTTTTAATGGGATTGTTTGATGTTTCCTTGCTGGTTTGCTTGTGTTCTTTGTAGATTTTGATTTATTATCCCTTTATAAAAGAAAAAAAAAAAGAGAGACTCATGTTGTCTTCAAAGTTGTATGTTTCAAGTCTCTTTTTCTCTAAAAGAAAACTAGTCACAGAGAATGTAAAGTTCTTCCCAGGTTCCATGGTGAATTAGTAACAAAAGGGTTCTAGAATTTAAGCTTCTTGACTCCTAGTGCAAATCTTTTTCTGCTCCATCATCGTTTATCCTCTCAGATAATCTGTTTTCTCATATATAAAACGAGAATAAAAATATCTTTTCCACGTCCTTCCTAGAAGAATTAAATGAGATAACACATGAAGACTGTATGGGTGGCTGGCACACTGCTGGAGCTCAATATCTGTCGAATGAATAAACAAGTGAGGTCAAGCGCGGTGGCTCACGCCTGTAATCCTAGCACTCTGGGAGGCTGAGGCGAGTAGATCATTTGAGCTCAGGAGTTCGAGACCAGCCTGAGCAAGAGCGAGACCCCGTCTCTACTAAAAAAAATAGAAAGAGATTAGCAGGACAACTAAAAATATATAGAAAAAATTAGCCAGGCATGGCGGTACATGCCTGTAGTCCTAGCTACTCGGGAGGCTGAGGCAGGAGGATTGCTTGAGCCCAGGAGTTTGAGGTTGCTGTGAGCTAGGCTGAAGCCACGGCACTCTAGCCCGGGGCAACAGCGTGAGACTCTATCTCAAAAAATAAAAAATAAAAATGTGTTAGCAAACAAATAAATATAAATACAAAATACATAAAATATAATATGAATAAATAAGCAAGTGAGAGAGGGAGGGAGGGAATAAATAAATGAATGCTTTATTTTTCCTTCCTTTCTCTTAGTTGTCAACTCAAATTTCCTCCTTCCCCAGTTTCAAATAAAGAAGATACAAGAAAATGGGAAGAAAGCTCAGATTTACCTTAATTTACCCTTTTTTTCCCCAGATGTATTAGATGATTCGTCCAAGCTCCCACAGCTATCAAGTGGAAAGAAGAAAAGAAGATTTTATCTGACTGACATACCTACCATCAGGTTCTCCCTCTTGAAACTACCCTACTTCTCTTAAGATTTTAGCGCAAGGCAATATAAACTGTGCCTCTCATTAGTCAATGATTAGATTTTCTTGAAATCATAGAAATGTTCGAGCTGGAATCATTTGCATTGTAAATTTGAGCTGGAAAGAAGCTGGTGAATCTGGGATGCATCTTGTATACCCATTTCTATGTTGAGGGCGTAGCCAGAAAAGCATCAATGCTGAGACTTTGTTTCTCCAGCACCTGAGCAAATAAATGCACTTGCGTATATGAGCATTTTGTTTTTTCCATCCCGATTTGGGAGAGTTTCCCTGATAAGCGTAGCCACACTATGTGGTGCAAAGAGGTGGGCTTTGGGAATTTTCCAAGACCAGTCCTAAAATCCAATCCCGATCACTTTGTCAAATATGAGATAGGAACGAGATACCGAACTTATATGAGGGATATTAATACCCATCTCCTGTAGTCATTGAGAGAGGATTGAGTGATATAACAGATGTAAAAAATCTAGCTAAGTCCCAGCATTTTCCAGGCACTTCATCAGTTAGTTATTAATGCCCTTTCTTATCTCTCCTGTTGAGTGTGACACAAATAGAGCATTTAAACAATTTGCATGTGTTTGCCTCTCTCAGTGTTCTTAAGGCTTTCTCCCATATGTGAGCATTTTTGTAGCTCATCTTACTGGGAGCTCCAGTAAGCTCCATCTTTGAGGGCAGGAACCACGACTCTCATTGAACCAGGAGTGCTCAGGAGATGAACGCAATGGTTCGCCTGTTTGCTTGTGTGTCTTTTCTCAAAGACATGGTGGTGCTTATAGCACTCACTATCTGGTAATTATCTGAATGTTTCTATCTTTTCCTCTGCAAAGCTCATTTTGGTGCTAGCTGCTAGAAGTGCCAAGTTAAGAAGGATTCTGCAGTCGTAGGAAAGAGTTCTGCGGTCAAATATCTGCCGTGGGCTCAAAAGGTAAAGGCAATGACATTACTCATGCTACAAACTAGCCACCCTTGTTGTGGATCTCCGAGGAAAAGAAGGTATGCCGAATTAATCTTTGAAGCCCTGACCTTGTACCAATACCCCATGTAGTTCTTTGTATATAGTAGGTCTTCACTCTTGAGTGAGTGAATAAATAAATGTACAAATGAAAGAATCTGTCTTATCCTGCAGAGACAAGGGAAGGGGGAGAGGAAAAGGGATTTTACAACCTCTGGGTACTCTCCAGACTCCTGTGATATTGTTTTACAAGCCTAAGTTTTCCATTAATTGCATTCCCATTCCTATACATACTTTTTGGGTTCCCACCTGGAGCAAACCTAACACCAAGAACAGCTCAAATTCACAAGATGGAGAAATAGACTGTGGCTTTTTGTGGGAGGAATGAGGAATTATAGCCATGTTGCAGTCTACTGCACCAAAGGTCATGTTGCCACCTCTACCTCTCCCCTTTTTTAATTAAAAAAAAGAAAAAGATGTTAATTAGAGAGAATATGTGATTATAAATGGTGTATGTTGGGGAAAAAGTTTTATATATTTCATGAATTACACGTTGGGCACAGAGACCTTCATCGTGTAAAGAAATCATGGTTCTTGTAAATAAGAAAGCACCTTTCTTCATAAGGGTTTTGGAGTTTCTTGTTTTGGGGTGGGGGTTAGAAAACATTTAGAGAAAGCTCTGAAAAGAATTTAACTTCATTTTCTTTTGTGTCTCTCAAAGGGAAAAACAATCTTTTGTCAGACTGAGAAACGTTTTTCATCTGTGCTGTATGTGGCACCGTAAAGAGCATATTTAGTATCAAGTGGAAGGCTGAAAAGCATCGAAATCGATTTTCCGAAAATGTATTTTATTATTTTACTGTTGCACTTACCGTCCTGATAATGGCCATGAGGGCGGGGGATTTGATTTTTGGAAATTAAACAATGATGTGCTGCCACCTTGTGGACATGCCTGTGAGTATCATTATTTCCCATTAGCAGCTCAAGAATACTAATCAGAAAAAAATACTGCAATGAAGGGAAACATTTTGTCCTTGCAAAAGACATGGTTTCTTAATATTTTTTGTGCCCATCAGACTCTTTGGCAATCTATGAATCTCTTTACCTAGTAATTTTTTAAAATATATAAAATAGGCCGGGCGAGGTGGCTCACACCTGTAATCCTAGCATTCTGGGAGGCTGAGGCGGGAGGATCGCTCAAGGTCAGGAGTTCAAAAAACCAGCCTGAGCAAGATTGAGACCCTGTCTCTACTACAAATGGAAAAAAATTAATGCCAACTAAACATATCAGCCGGGCAAGGTGGCGCATGCCTGTAGTCCCAGCTACTCGGGAGGCTGAGGCAGGAGAATCACTTGAGCCCAGGAGTTGGAGGTTGCTGTGAGCTAGGCTGACGCCACGGCACTCATTCTAGCTGGGGCAACAAAAGTGAGACTCTGTCCGGAAAAAAAAAAAAAAAAAAAAAAATATATATATATATATATATATATATATATATATAATAAAACACTGGAATTAGAAAGGAAACTATATTGAAATACAGTTATCAAGAGGTTTAACGTGACAAATGTGTGTTACACTTTATATGCATGTTGAATTAACACATAAGTAACAAAATCTAGTAGTTAGTCTAATAATTACTAAGATTTTGAACTAGAAATAGTGTAAACATATTCTGAGACATCTGCAACAATAGTAATATGATATGAAAATGTGTGTCACGGGCTAATACTCCTGTGGTTTGTTGCCTATACTGTATTCATAATTTAAGGAAGTGTTAAATTACAGTTAGGAAATAGTGGGGGAAAGGGGTTTTTTTCCTATCTAAGTTCATGAACCCCCTGAGTTCTATCCATAGACACTTGGGGATCCAGAGATTCCATTGTCATCATCCTTGACCCCTAATATCATTTACATTTGATCACCAAACAAGGAAAAATCACACGCCAAAACTTTCCAAATTAAATCTTCATGAAGACCCTATGAATCCATGAAAATGTTCTTCAAATAATATATTTTCCAAGAATAAAGTACAAATAAATTGTTCACTCCTAAATATTATTTTTATATACCATGTTATAATGAATATGATATTGGATGGTTCTGATATTTTTATAATTATAGATTATCAAGAATAGGTCTACAATTTCTTATTTGATTGTAGTTTTATTTGATTTTTTTAATTTGCTTTTTAAATTACCTGGATTCTAGTCCAAGATTTGTCTTTGAGTGATTCAGTGACCTTGTATATTTCTCTCCTTCCCCCTCTCTTTCTCTTCCTCCATTTCAATTTCTTCTCTCTCTCTCTCTCTCTCACACACACACTTTATTTCATTCTTCCTTCAACATATATTTACTAAGAGACACATCTGTGCTAACATCTGTGTTAATCATTGTGAACAGTGATCTCAGAAGCCTGGCAGTCGATCACAAGGTAGCACCGCCCAGAGGCAAATTTATCACAAAGAATTCAGTGTACTCCATTCCCATGATCCTCTGCAAAAGGAAACAATGGTTTCACATGTTTATGTGGTTTTGTAAGATTTGCAAGAGTGAGAAATTTGAACCACAATCAGTTAAGACCACTGCCTCTTTCAATTCCCATTTCCCCTCGTGTTCGTGGCATTTAGAGTGACCAGTCATTATTGAGATCCTACTAGAGAGAGAAGTTAGGTCAGGAATACACTAGTTTGGGTTGAGTGATATATATTTATGCGGTTCATACTTCCATGCATACGGCAGTTTCTTAACCTCATGAGTACATATCAACAAATAATTAAGAAATGTATCTGGTCAGTTTTTCACCCCCTAATTAAATTTTGCATACCCATAAAGAAACTTCCATCTAATTTTGTGATTTTTGACCACCAGGAAGGTAGTAGCCAAATCTAAGTGGCTGTAAAAGTTAACATGACACTGGCACTTACTAGAAAAAAAATACCGTCTTTCCCCTAAAATAAGACAGGGTCTTATATTTATTTTTCCTGAAGAAGACACCCTAGGGTTTCTTTTCAGCGGATGTGTTATTTTTTTTAAGTACAGTACAACCATCTACATTGATTCAAATAGAGTTAAGTCGTCTTCTTCTGGAACATCATCCTCACTCTCCAAACCCCGAATTCCATCCTGAATGTCTTGCAACTCTATTTCCTTTAGAACCATTGGCCCCGATCTCTCCTGTCGAGCACTAGATCTCCCGAGGGGCGGATGAGAAGGGCTGCTCATGTTCTTTCCCGCTCCTGGATGAAATGCATGGGTTGTGCAGATGCGCTGGTTAGCCACGCTCATCACTAGGGCTTATTTTCAGGGTAGGACTTCTATTGCACAAATGCTTAGAAATCCTGCTAGGACTTATTGTATGGGTAGGTCTTATTTTCCGGGAAACACAGTAGTTCTTATTGGACAAAATAAAATTCTTATTATTTTTATTATTGTATTAGAGAAAATAAGTCCTTTAAGAAGTGATGCTTATCTGGTTTTGCCCAGATCCTAATGGTCCTTGTTTCTGATTGAACCCTGCCGGATATAGACACCCATCCATATTTGTGTACAACGTGCTACCATGGCTCTCTAGTCAATTTCCAATCTTTCTCACGTGAGCAACTGATGATTGTGCTTCGCCAGTACAGTAAAGGAAGAGTCTCTGTTCTGATTCTATTTGGACTTCTCAAGCCCATCTCAGGATCCGCTGTGCGCCCTGTGGCATTTCTGTCCCACACGATCCACGCTGGAAGATCTGCGGTGACAACCCCCCTGGTTTTCTCAGCCTGAGCATTCTGTTCTTTTACTCTCCCAGGCCACCATTTTCTTGGGCACCACCAGCATTTTCCTCAAAGTGTGGTGTCAAGCGGGACATTTAAAACCCTAGAAGAGGCCAGGCGTGGTGGCTCACGCCTGTAATCCTAGCACTCTGGGAGGCCGAGGCGGGTGGCTCGCTCAAGGTCAGGAGTTCAAGACCAGCCCCAGCAAGAGCAAGACCCTCGTCTCTACTAAAATTAGAAAGAAATTAATGGACCGACTAAAAATATATAGAAAAAATTAGCCGGGCATGGTGGCGCATGCCTGTAGTCCCAGCTACTCGGGAGGCTGAGGCAGGAGGATCGCTTGAGCCCAGGAGTTGGAGGTTGTTGTGAGCTAGGCTGATGCCACGGCCCTCTAGCCCAGGCAACAGAGTGTGAGACTCTGTCTCCAGGGAAAAAAAAAAAAAGTCCTAGAAGAGTCACACTGAAGATGGAGCCACCTGTCCCCAGCCCTTCCACATTCTCCATGTCACACCTTCAACCCTGACCTGGCAGCGTGAGCAGGAGAGCGCTCAGGCCCAGTACGATTTAATCACTTCCTGTCCAGCATCACTTGGGTTATAGCCGTGCTTGTTGTCATTCCTGGATTTCCCCCAAAAAGCTCCACAATGGGATGAATTATATTCATAAAGTTCGGTACGTAGCTTCATAACAGTATTCTGTGGAAATACATTCACAAGAGCATGTTGCAGAATGTGGGTGGGACATCCTGCCTCACTCCCAAATTTACTTATGCTGACTTCAGGAAAGACTGAGCCTTGTATTTTGTGTTACTACTGTGCATTCTTAAAAAAATAAATAAATAAAAATTAGTTTTGGACATTGGAGACTCAGAAAAGGGGAGGGTGAAAGGCGGGTGAGGGAAGAAACACTACCCATCGGGTGCAATGGACAATATTCAAGTGTCAGGTACACTAAAAACCCAGGCATCACCACTGTACAGTTCAGCCGTGTAACCAAAAACCACCTGTATCCCTACATCTATGAAAATAAAAAATTTAAATTCAAAAAATTGTTTTGTTACTATGCTAGATCAACTGTCACCTCCTATTTGAGCACTTCCCAGATTCCTCCAGACAAAGGTAATGTCTTTTCCTTTGTTTAGTATGTAACATCGTTACAATGAAAACCACATTGTATAATATTGTGATTGGATGTTTGTCCGGCTCATGCACGAAGACTGTAATCCTCTCAAGGGGCATCGTGTTTTATTTACCTTTGCTTACCTAGTGCCTAAAGTATTGATGAGTTTCTTTAAAGTTTGACTGAATGAATTTTTAAGTCAATTTTATCTTATCTAAATGGAACACACTTGGGAAAAATAACTCATTGTTGCTTTTGCGTGTTACCAAATACCTCGATGAACATGGAGAATCTAAGAATGAAAACGTTACTACCATTTTTGATCCTTTGAATCAATAATGTCCATTGGGACTTTCTGTGATGATCGATGGCTATTAGGAACTTGAAATGTGTCTACTGCAATCAAGGAAATGAATTTCTAATATTATTTCATTTTAATTAGTTTAAAAATAAAGAAATACATATGTCTAGAAGATACTGATTGGTCAGCACAGCTCTGGATGTTTTTGGCATTATAGATACTTTCACAGGGGTAGTCTATATTTTGACTTTGAGTCTTTTAAAAATGCCACAGACAAAGCTTTGCAGCTTCTTTCCTCTAAAAGGCAGTTTTTCAAACTGGAAATGATTATAAATATGGAGGGGAAATGATTTCATGCAGGAATAGATATTGATAACATAGCCTTTTCCTTAAAAAAGGGACTTAGAATTCAGTAGCATCATTGATTTTTGGTTGCAATTAATAACCTTTAAAATGTTTACCATTCATATATTATATGTTCTGTTCTATTCTTCAAAATATTTTTTTTTATGAAATGGAATAAAAGATAAGCCTGTTAGACCAATGGCACTAACATCATAAACTCATCATCATAGGAGTTTTTTCAAGAAAGTTTATGACCATTAGTAGAGAGGTATTTTATGCAGTACAATATATTTTTGATGTATAGTAAACATACTGTTGCTGGATAAATAATCTTCATTTTAATCCATTCTAAAAACACATTTTCTGAGATTATAGAGCCATTCTGTTAAAAGAACTATGCACAGTTTACTAAATACATATCCACTAAATGAAAATAATGGGTTCTTAAATCAATGCCAATTTTGTTTTTTGGGTTATGAGAGAGGAGCAGTTTTTGCTCTTGCCCTCAAAGATAGACAACAGAAAAAAATTTCCATAGACATGATTAATGCATTCATGCTTTATGTCTTTTAAGGGTTTAATCCATAGAAAATACATTTAATTGCAGTAAAAGGAGGTTTCAACTCAGAAAGTTTATAAGAAGATGACTGTAAAATTGATAGTACAACTGAAGATTTATTATATATTTATTATATATGTATTATCTACTTGTATTTATCAAGGAATCCAGAAGACAAATGTCAAGTGTCAGTTTTTTAATGAGTTTAAATTTAGAAATGTTATTTTAAACCAAGGACCTCAAGAGAATTATTATAGCTAACCAATTAGCCCCACAATGACCAAGTTTAAAAATTCACATTTACAAACCAATCCATGTATTATTTAACTGAAGACATTTTAGAGTGACATGAAATCCGTTTTTCAAAAGTATCAAGCAATACTACAAAGGTGAAAATAAATTAATAAGATTCAAAGGAATTTCAGGATAAAAATATAGAAAATGAGATCTGTTCATTTATATAATACTCATGATTTATTTCTATATTATTTTTGAGAAGCAGCTTGGTGTAGACCAGTTCTTTATATAGAGCTGGGTTTGAACCTTAGGTCCATTATTTACTTAAATTCCTGCATAGATTCTGTGCTTCAATTTTTCCATTAGTAAAATGTGAATAAGCATCATGATTTTTCATATGAAAAGCATTTAGAACATTAAATACTCAATAAATATTATCCAGTCTCATTGAAAGCAAGACTGGCTAATATAAGGATAGCTTTTTCTCAAATCCATAATATTCAGATCTCTCCAGTTTATTTCTCAAAATGTAAATCTTGATGTATGTGATCTTCCATAATAACTTTTATTCTCTTTCAAACATAAGCTATAGGAAGATAAATCAGGGCAGTTGCAAGCCTGTAGAAAGAGGAGGGTTTAAGAAACTCATTGTAAGTCAGATTAAAACTACTCATTACCAGATCGTCCAAGAACATATACCAAAATAATTACGAATAGTAAATTTAATATCAAAAGTAAGCTTTCAGTAGTGAATGAAGCATAGTAGCAATTGTTAATAACACTACAACTTGAAGTAGCTAGCTGGTGAGATCCTCATTAAAAAATTTGTAGTTGTTGTTGTTTAATCAGAATAGAGAAGAAGAAAAGAGGGGAACCAGTATCCTACCCCAGAATTCTAGTAGGAAATGAATCCCGGGAAGGAGAATTGGGAGTGACAGCTGGAAAGAAGGAAGGTGAGCAAATCAAATCTCTAGGTCCTGCAGGAAGAAAGGATTATACTGAAAGCTGACCCCAGATGAAGAAGGTGACTTAAGTGCTTAACCAGCAGGAGGGCCCATATGTTACCTAACAGCAGGGAAGTGGGAAAGATGCCCAGTCAGGGACTCTATGGACGCCATGATTATATAATGAATGCACACACTCATTAGGGTTAGACAGATCTCACTCTGCATTTGGCCTGACCATTTGCTAGCAATGCAACGTTAGGCAATTTCTTTAAACTCTCTCAGATTTTTCATTTCATTACTGTAAAAGTAGGACAATAATTTTAATTTCTTATAGTTTTGTTGAATTACAAAAGACAATCTATAAAATGATTAGCACAATAACTGGCAGAAAATAGACGTTTTTTTTTAATTTTGGAGGGTATATCAATTTTATTTTATTTTTTATTTCAGTATATTATGGAAGTACAAATGTTTAGGTTACATATATTACCTTTGTCCCACCTGAGTCAGAGCTTCAAGCGTGTCTGTCCCCCAGATGGTGCACACCGTACCCATTGGGTGTGAATATACCCATTCCTCCCTCCCCCTTCCCATTTGCCTGACACCCAATGAATGTTATTACTATACGTGCACTTAAGTGTTGATCAATTAATACCAATTTGATGATGAGTGTATGTGGTGCTTGTTTTTCCATTCTTGGGATACTTCACTTAGTAGAATGGGCTCCAGCTCTGGCCAGAATAATACAAGAGGTGCTAGATCACCGTTGCTTCTTGTGACCAAGTGCCCATCAATACGAGTGGATTAAGAAAATGTGGTATATGTATACCATGGAGTTGTACTCAGCCGCAAATGTTATGTTTAATCAACAAATAATTGTATATATTTATGGGGTACAATGTGATATTTTGATATATATATATATACATTGTGGGATGATTAAATCAAGCTAATTAACATATCTCTCACCTCACATAATTATCATTTTTTGTGGTGTGAACATTTAAAATCTACTCTTAGCAATTTTGAAGTATACATTCCATTAGTAACTATAAGTCACCATGGTATATAATGGATCTCAAAAACTTATTCCTCCTAACTGAAATGTACCCTTTTGACCATCTCCTATGCCTAAATGTAATGTTATTATTTGAAGCAAATATTACTTGAAGATGAAGAAAGATCTCTAAGCAACTGTATCTAAGTAGATGTTAATTGAACTCTTAACTATCATGGAGAATCCGTGAGCTAGGAATTGAGTAATAGCCCTAGACGACAAAGTCATTTATCAAAGATGCCTTTTGTCTTTTTCAAATCTTGGTAGTTTTTTTTTTTTGTTTTTTTTTTTAGATTTTCTTCTATTTTGGTTTGTTGACCTTTCTCATGACCTCTTCACCCTGTCCTTTCAAAGTTAGCTATGAAGGATGTAGTGGGATGTGAGGAAATAGTGAAAATGTCTATGTGCTTCTGAAACTCAGGACTAACCTCTACTGGAGGCCTGATTTAGAAATACCCCTTCTGCCTTGGCCTCCCAACCATCCTAAGACAGGCTTCCGTCCTAGGAAGGCAGGGCAGACTTCACATGCACTGGCCACATGCTGTTTTGCCTATAGTGAGGACAGAGAACTCATATGCCAACACATTCTACCCAAGTAT